TCCATTCTCTTAACCCTCCAATAATTCAAACAGTAAAGTGTGAACAATCTATTTTTTTCCCTTGCTCTTTCTTATTCTTATATTTTTAAATTAGTGGTCTTTTCCCTATCCTAAAGTTTATTAATTGATTTTTGTTGTTTGGAAGCAAAGGTAATTGGAAAAAAAAATCAGCTTCTGCACATAGAGAATTATAAAAAATTGCACCAAAAGAATCAGTTCCACACTTATCTGGAGCTAACTGAGCTAAAGAAGTAAAGAAATAGATAAGTAACTTACTGGCTGATCTCACAACTTCTAATTTAGAGAGGCAAAAATTGACATTACTGATTATGACATATTACTTTATTATGGGAGCCCTTGTGGTGCAAACGGTTAGGTGCCCAACTACTAACCAAAAGGTTGACAGTTCAAACCCACCTAAATAGAGGTGTCTCGGGAGACAGGCCTGGTGACCTTTCTATGGTACTTTCTGAAAGGTCATAGCCTTGAAATCCCTGTGGAGCAGTTCTACTCTGCACACATAGAGTTGCTATGAGTGGAAATTGATTCGATGGCAACAACAACAACCTTATATTAATAACCCATTTATTTCTCTACAGTTAGATAATTCGTTTCTTTCTTATATTTTAAGCTATCTATATAGCTTATTTCTCAAAATGCTAATTATTATTATTTTTTGCTAAAACCTAATGTGTGGTTGCATGATCAGGATATCTATTCATTTTGGAGACTATACTCGTGTCTAGAAATTCATGTATCTGTTTTTACAACACGGACAACATTGAATTTTATCTTTGCCCATCTAATTGTGTTTCTTTTATATTACACAAATTATGCTTAGAGTTTCTTTAATGATTATTGTGGTCTAATATTTCTTCCAAATGTTTACTATTGAAGATTTTGATTGTATGAATTAACTGTACATATTCTTTGACCATTTGTCTACATGAACTACAGAATAGATCATGCTGGCCTCTATCAATTATACAACCATTTAGGAGTTCAAACATGCCAAGTAGTATTAATGATAATGTATTATTCTTCGTGGTATGGAATCCTAATCATAATATTCTTTGAGAATCAAAATATTTTCATATAAAAATATTTTGTACATTTTGATCTAAGAGAAGAGCCGATTTGGTGGCCTCAATACTTCTTTAATTAGGTGGAATAGCAAAGTGAATATTCTGTTTGGAGTTTAGTTCCTGTGCTGAATAAGAATCTACATTTTAACAAGATCCCCAGATGATTCTTACAGATTCCCAGTTGATTCTTATGTATACATATATACATAAGAATCTTGTTAAAGTGTAGATTCTGATTCAGTGTATCTGGGGTGGAAATGCAAATTCTCAGTAGGGGGTTGAACTGGAACCAACCAGTTTGAAGCCCTGCCAAAAATTACTGCAATTAAGAAATAAGAAATATTCTAGAGGTTTCTTTGGTACTTTCTAAACTATAAACACAAACAAATAAGCTTGTTTTGTGTACATAGAAGGGTCTTCCTAATATGCATGTCCAAGTTGAATTTCAATATCTTATTTCCTTATAATATGGAAACCTCCACACCTACTACTGTGGCATAGTGGAAAAAATATGTAGGTTTGTGGTTTGATTATATTTATCCTATTTTGTTAATCTTTGTAGTTAACTTTAGTTTGTTTTTTATTTGACTACTTAAAAAATTCTTAGTGTGGGAAGGAAAAGTGAAAAGAAATATAAGAAATTGATATTCTCAGAGGTGGACATGGTAGCAATCAGAGTTAGCAAAAGCACCTCTTACTGCCAAGTATTATAAGATATAATGTTAATAGAAAAACAACTTACTCTTGCTTCTTCCAGTGGTATCTAAAACAAGCCAGAAACAAGTGAGTGTGATTGATTGTTTAGAGGAGACAAGCTATTTTTAATATATTTGTCTGGGCCTTTAATTACTTTGTAGAATTAATGATACTAATAGTTAATTTATAGTGACTATTTTACAGACCCCAGACATGGCTCTAAGAGATTTAACTATAATTCATATGGTAATCCTATGTGGTACTTACTAATATCATCCCATTTTATCATGAAGTAAATCACCCATAATGAAATAGGCAGGTCCCACTAGAATTTGAACCTCAAGCAACCTGACTCCAGAGCCAACTCCTTTCTATATTATATTACGTTGACTCTCAGAGTTCCATGCTGGCTGCTTATGCAATGCACCATTAGCCCTCTAAGTGTCTTTGTTTACACTTTACTTTCTTGACTTTTTTCATTCATAGTATTACTACCATTTTCTTCATTTTCTATTACACTGGCTTGCCATTGTTTGAGGCCAAAGAAAATTATTAACCTGGCTCAGTTACAGATCAAGTAAATGACAGATCAGGTATTGGAGTCTAGGTTTGTTTGACTCCATGTCATTCTACCTTGTTTTAAACTTTACAGAGGTAATAGAAATGATGATCCTTTTCCATTCATAAAACACGTATCTCATTGCGTGTCTGCTATGTTCCAGGCCATCTCAGGTGCTGCAGAGTGAGGCAAGTAAAGGAGTGCTGTGCTGCTCTTAACTCAGTAGTTGATTAGTCGTTTTAACAAACAATTGCATTATGAGAACTCAGAGATATTACAGAATTTCTGAGGAGGAAGTGCCAATCTCATTCTTTTAGAGTTCAGTCTCTCTAAGGAACGATTGATCTTCATTTATGGAGGACAGCATGTTAATGGCTTAATATGTCTTAATGGAATCAGCATAGTGCAGTGGAAAGAACAAGGACAAATGGATTCAAGCCCTAAATGTGAAAGACAGAACTGTAATGTTAATGAAAGAAATTGGTGGATAACACTTCATGACCAGAAATGGCAGCGAAGGACTGTTTAATACCCTCAAAGCACAAAACCACATGTAAGCAACCAAATAAATAAAAATTAATTATTTATATTAAAAAGCACCATAAATTAATTTTAGCAACACAGGACAGATTGGGAAACGGTATTTGCAATGTCTAAAACTTACAAAGGGTTATTAACTAGAGTATACAAGGAATGCCTGCAAACCAACAATACACAGACAGGAAACTCAATAGAAAAAAGACAAACGGCATGAGTTAATAATTCACATGAGCGTGTACAGAAATATTTAACATCCCCAGTAATAATGGAAGTGATGTTGAAACTACCATGAAGTATCTTTTTTATACTCAACAGAGTGGTAACACTTGGATAAGACCAAGTGTTTAGGATTTGGGGTGAAAGTACTTTCCTTATAGGTTGTTGTTAGGTGCTGTGGAGTCAGCTACAACTCATAGTGACCCTATGTGTAACAGAATGAAACCTTGTCTGGTCCTGGGCCATCCTCACAATAGTAGGTTATGGTTGACTCCATAGTTGCAGCCACTGTGTCAAACCATCTAACTGAGGGTCTTTCTCTTTTTCACTGACTCTCTAGCTTACCAAGCATGATGCCCTCCTCCAGGGACTGGTCCTTCCTGATAACATGTCCAAAGTAAGCCATCTCCACTTCTAAGGAGCATTCTGGCTGTACTTCCTCCAAGACAGATTTATTTGTTCTTCTGGCAGTCCATGGTATATTCAATATTCTTTGCCAACACCATAATTCAAATGCATTAATTCTTATTCAGTCTTCCTTTTTCATTGTCCAGCTTTCGCACGCATATGAGGTGATTGAAAATACCACGGTTTGGGTCAGGCGCATCTTAATGGTTAAAGTGACATCTTTACTTTTTAAGATTTTAGAGAAGTCTTTTACAGCAGAGTTGCCCAGTGTATCATTTGATTTCTTGACTGCTGCTTCCATGGGTGCTGATTGTCGATCCAAGTAAAATGAAATCCTTGACAACTTCAATATTTTCTCTGTTTATCATGGTGCTACTTATTGGTCCAGTTGTGAGGATTTTTGTTTTCTTTAGGTGTAATCTAAACTGAAGGCTGTAGTCATTTATCTTAATCAATAAGTACTTCAAGTAGTCTTCACCTTCAGCACGCAAGGTTGTGTCATCTGCATATTGCAGGTTGTTTAGGGAGTCTTCTTCCAATCCTGATGCCATGTTCTTCGTATTGTCCACCTTCTTGTATTACTTGCTTAGTATTCAGATTGAATAGGTATGGTGTCCACTCATGGTGGACAGGTTTCAGAGGAGCTCCCAGACTAAGACAGACTAGGAAGAACCTTATGAATAACAACAAAACATTTTCTCAAATAGTGCTGGAAGATAAGCCTCTCAGATTGGAAGGCATTCAAAATACGATTGAGGGAGAGCTGCCTCCTCAAAGTAGAATCAACCTTAATGACTTTGACTTTAGCGACGTGGTTGAAGTAAAGCTTTTGGGAACCTTCATTTGTTGATGTGGCATGACTCAAAATGAGAAGTAACAGCTAAAAACATCCATTAGTAATAGGGTTGTATACTTATAGGTGATAGAGTGTAAGTTGGAACAATTTGGGAAGTAATTTGGAGGTGCAAATTAAGTATGTGCACGTCCTACGAGCCAGTGATTACAGTCCTTTGTTTACATTTTAAAGAACTCTCTCACAGATGCTTAAGAGGACATTTCACGTGGTTGGTCACTATGTCGTATACAAGCTATCTTCAGCTTTACTGGGGGTATTTTCTTCATATATTTATTTTTCAATCCATCCAAGTAGTTTCTATTTTCTAAAAGTCTTCAGTAATCCAACAGGAAAGGGATAGATATGATGTCTAACATTTTGCAAAGTGACAAGGATAGTGTCTTATACACTGTGCAAGACCAAAACATTTTTTAAGTCAATAGAAAAGAAGATTTTTTGGAGTAACTACAAACCTTTTAAGAGTTAAAACATATATTCTTTAATCTGCTTTTTTTCCTTGTATGTGGTTGTAAAACAGTAGAAGTAACGGTAGCGTCATTACCTGTATAACTTCAGGGAGGATAATGAGAACCAAGATCAGCCTAAGTCTGATTCCTAAGAGGTATAGGTCAGACATACCTCCACTCTCCAACCTTTTTACCAACTTTGACACCAGCCATGTCGCCCATGGCACTCTCTACTTCCCTTCTGGATTTGATAATCTGTTTCAATGGTCACACAGAACTCACAGATCACACTTACAGTTAAGTGGTTTATTAAGGAAATAACAGGATAGAACTTGGGATCAGGATCAAAAGGTTACAACTCAGGATCAGGATTAGGAAGCATGTAGGCAAAGTTTCCCTTCTTCATTACAGGATAGCTCTCTCAGCTCCTCTTAACTTGCAGGTTTCTTCTCAGTCCCCAGAGGACAGGCTCCTCTTGGCCCTGCCATCTGTCATCACTGGCTCTGCTGCTGGGCCCCTTCCAGATCTCTAGCTGTCTTCAGTGTTATAGTCATTGACCTGTGTTACAGCTTTTTTAGGATGTTCCTTGCCTCTTCTCTCTGCTTCTTTCTTCCTTCTACTTCGTCTTGCTTCTTTCTGTCTCTGAAATCTCTGTAGGGTTGGCTGCTTACATACACAAACTCCTGGTCAATTTCAAGACATGGCCCTTACCAGAGCCACGAACAGACCAATACCATCTTGGTAGGCCACAGGCACTTCATTTACATAGTAGGCTACAGACACTTTATTTGCACAGTCTATTGACCAATCCCTGAAAGGTGCATATCAATCACAGGGCAGGGTGCAGCCCAGGACCAGACAAAAAGTATCAAACCTCAAGTTGTTTACAGCTTACCCAGGAAATGTTAATCAACTTGGACAAAAGTAACAAATGCTCTGGGTAGAAAACTAGGGCAAAGGTAACTCCTCAGGGCTTAGGGGAAAAATCTCTCAAGCTGTTTTTCCAAAGAACCAAGGGAAAAGGCCACATCACAGTGATGAAAATATTTAGTGTTGATAATCTTCCTTTCTTAAGTACATGGGTGTCTAGGACCCCAGGTCACCAAATCTCCATGAAATCTGCTGTGGTGTTTTAGCCTTGGTCCAGGTAGATCTCCAGATGGCCAAGAAAAGGTCACTACTCCTTCCCCACAAACTTCTTTTTTCTCAGTTTCTTAACAGGAGTTGAGAACTTTCATGGATTGTTAAAAGTTGCTTCACTCTAAAACTCAATGCCCTAAAGTTCTTATTTCTATTCTTTCAAGTCCTTAATTTCACCTTCTTCTTCCTTGATATTATTTTGGAATGTTTAACATTTGGTTAATAAACATTAAACTCAACCTCATTAGACATTTCTCTTGCTTTTTACTCTTTTGATTAGTGATTAAACATTCTACTTTCCAAAAATTCTTCAATGAACTCAAGGGATTTTATGTAATATGGAAGCGGAGGAGACAGAAAGATACCTATGTCAGGGCATACTGAGCCAGAATTAAACATAGGTGTTTGGTGGAAAGTTTCTCAGATTCTATAGGAGACTGAAAACCAGCAGAATTGAGAAAAATTAGGAGCTTACCGACAGGTCTTACAGGCGTTTCTAAAAAACAAAAACAAAAATATATAGGCAAATTCCCAGAGAGATTTATTTATTTTCTGAATTAAATACCCTATTTTTTACTTCAGTACTTTCTCCAGAAGGTATATAAAAAGGGGACATTTACAGGCCACCTCATCTCACTCAGACAGTTTCATATGCTATAAGATCAGCATTTATGTAATTCTAAAGGAATCCCATTCCAAAGCAACCTCTCAACTTGGTGGATATGAAGAAGTATAGATAGCTGGGTCTCATTCCTATCTTATGTTTATTTACCTAAATGCTAACAGTTGAACACTTTTGGTGTAGGTAGTACATCTCACCTTGAAGGTTCCTTCTCAGCCTTTTTTGCTAGCTCCTCCTTCCTTCTCTTCCTAATCTCTAATTTAGAGTGCTTCAGAGTTTGGTGATCCACTATGTTTTTCTTTCTATGCTCTTCCTTAAATAATTTCATTGTATTTATATGCAGATGACTCCCACATCCAGTCCATAAGCAAGTCCTATTGGCTCGCCCTCCAAAAGGTATTCTGAAAAACATCCACTTTTGTCCATCTTTCCTGTTATTACTTTAGTCAAGCCCACCATCATCTGTTATTAAAGTTACTGTAATACTCGCTTATCTGTGAGGAGTCCAACTCCAGGCCAAAATTCAATTACAAATGCTTTGCCTGGCAGGCCTCAAGGGGCAAAGCATACCTCCCTACTCTAGACGTGATGCACAGCCAGTGCATTGCTGTCTCTGGAGGGAATTGCAGTCAAGGACTCAGATCACTCAGGTCTCCCTGCCCCCGGGCCGGCCAAGCTCATATGCATATCTGCATTCCTAGCCTAGGAACCTCCATTTGGACGCCTCCATATTGGGTTGAGTGTGTCTCTCGTGAGACTTCTCAGATGCCTCCACCTAGACTTTCATATGGGGGGGTCTTGACTAGAACACTTTTCTCCACTCTGACTCGTAGTTTTCTATTCCTAGCCTTTCTGCTTTCTTCCTTCTCCCCCCGACAACCATAAAATGGCTTGACCTTTTGTTCGGTGATCATCAGGTAGTGAGACAATTTCCCCTGTCTGTACTGCCTGTCATCTGATTGACTCTCCCCCGGTGCCATTCTGTGGGGAAAAATTAAAAGTATCGCTTGCATTTATTTGTTTACTTTGTTAATTGCCTGTCTCCATTCAGTTGAATGTGAATTCTATGTGAACAGGAACCTTGTTTGACTTCTGTAAGAAACCTCAGCGCATAAAATACTACCTGACACCTATACATACTTCGACAATATTTATTTAATTGTCTTTTTACCGATTAGACTATGAGTCACTTGAGGACAGGAACTCGGTTTAATTGACCATTGCAACCCTGTTATTTAACACAATGTGTGGTACAGAGAAGGTATCCTAAGAAGTTTTTGTTGGATGAATTCGAGGAGCGAATGAAGCCAGAATGACTTTTCCTGGGACAGTTGAGTGAAATTAGTGAGGGGCTGTGAAATGTGGAAGAAGAAGAGTTTCCCCTTTTATGTTTCGGGAATCATGAGAACATTGCGCTGTTTAGTGCCCACCTTCCTAATGTGCAAGCGGTTTTGGTAGGTAGAGCCCACTCTTTTATTTCACTTTCTTACATCTTGCGTGGGCCGGAAAAACCGACTTGAAATTTAAAATTAACTTTCTGTATTAGTCATTTCCTTCCTTTTTCTGTATCCTTTAATTCACCTGCTTCCCTCTCTAGTATTTGCACACCGTACCTGTAAGTCTTGAGTTTTGTCCTTATTATTGGCCAGGATAACGCTCTTCTCTATTTATAATACTGGTTAGACTTCCCTCAGAATCATTAATAACAAGCACCAAGATAAAGAAGGTGGTTGTATTAATATAAACATAGTTGGAAACGAAAGCTACCAGACTGAGAAACAACCTCCCAGCCACTGTGAAAACCTAAAGGAAACCAAATTTGGAACTTGAAAGTAACTTTTGGGGGGTTCAGCTGCTCCTAAAATACAACAAAAAGGAAACATAGTTTTTCGCCCTGGGATTGGCGGGTGGATTCCTTCCAATAGAAGATATTATATCTCTTCTTGGTGTCATCAAAACCAAAACCAAACCAGTTGCCGTCGAGTCAATTCTGACTCATAGCGACGCTATAGGACAGAGTAGAACTGCCCTGGAGGGTTTCCAAGGCTGTAATCTTTGTAATCTTTACGAGAGCAGATCGCCAGATCTTTCTCCCATGGAGCAGCCGGTGAGTTCGAACCGCCGACCTTTTGGTTAGCAACTGAGCACGAACTACTTAGCAACCAGGGCTCCTAGTGGCATCAAGCCTCCATTATTTGAGAAAAAAGTGAGCCCCTTTTCCTTCCCTTTGTTGAGTGGCAGGAGCCTTCCTAGAGTTCTCTTAGTTTCAACCCTTAACTAACGTTGCCTGATTTTTCTTTATTCTTTCTGAATTCTTACACCTTCATTCTCCTCAGTAGGATTTAACTTGAACATTCGTATTTTCCTTAAGTCCTTATAACTAATCCCAGGAGATTTTAACTCTGAATTTTTTGTTTTTGGTCATAACCATTGGCTTTTAGATTTGTCTGTATTTATCAGCTATCAAGGGAATGATGGGTAATACGGAAGTAAAGGAGGTCAAGAAACATAGATTCTCAAAATCCAGCATATTCAGCAGTAAAATAAACTATTTTAAGATTTTAAAAGATTTTCTTTGTATTCTTCAAGAAATCAAAGGACACTAGAATTGACAAATGAACAAGGATGTTTCTATATAGGACTGGAGATACTGCCAAAAATAAATTAGTTACTGAATCAAGAGCTGCTTATTCATACTCTTATAATGTAGTCATTGTTTTTTTCTGGGCTTGAGCCTTGAGCTATGAAAGTAAGGGGTTTACCAAGATGATCTGCACTACTTTCCCACCTTTGTTCTATGGCCCTGTGCCATTTTCTGGGATAAAGATAGTTGGTGGCTTTGGTAAAGTGTTCCCTGGGGAGATGAACACCTGCAGATTTCATATGCTGAACAGGGACTTATTGATGGGCGTTTTTCTAAAACAAACCCACCAATGAAGAAATAAAGGAGATTTTACTTTTCTGTTTGGAGGACCTATCTAGAGGCTGGTAAATTCGTTTGTGCGCTTTTACTTTTTAATCCAGGGCACAGAGAAGACAGAAGGCATTTAGGAAAATGTGAGCTATTGCAGCATTTACATTTTTTGGGTTCTTGTTCTCACTTTCCTCTTTTCTCTGAAACTGGATTCTTCTCTTCTAGATTTACTCCGATCTTTTCTTTTTTTAAATAAAGGACTTTATTTGTCTTATGGTAGTTAAACTCTGTTAGTGAGTGCCTCCAACTTTCCTGCAAATTGTCAGTAGCCTCTAAAATTCTGATTAATGGGAGAGTAGCTAAGAATGAGAAATAAGAATATTAAGAATATTGAGATTTGCAAAGCTGGATATCTTGATGCACTTAGGTGTCCCAAAACCACTCATATTGAAAAACAGAAATTAAGCTTACTGGTGGGTGCCATGTCAGGTCCTAAAATGCAGAAAGAAACAGAGAGTGATTTGACTGGTAGAAGAC